GGCCAGCAAATGCGAAAGTGCACCCCTCGTAAGTCTCAAGGCGAACACGTGGTATCGAGAGTTTGCCACTATCAGATGAGCGGAGTTGTTTAGTGGGTACATAAGGTGTAAATAGCGCTTTGAGATAGGACGGTGCCTGGTCATGCAAGCAGCGGTAGCACAGAGTTGCAATTTTGTACTCTATGCGAGCGCGGACCGGCAGCCAATGCAACTCTCTCAGAAGAGTTTTAGCATGGTCGAATTTGCGTTTTCGAAGAACAATGCGAGCCGCATTATTCTGTGCTTTTTGAATTGTATCTAGGAGAGTAGCTGGACGACCCACCATAAGAGCATTGCAATAGTCCATCCCAGATTATGATAACTTATCAGGTTGTCCATTTGATTACTTAGTCTTTCTGCCTCACGCCTCGTTTTTTTTCTTTTCCTGATCAGTGTCAGCTGATACAGAGTCCAATGTCAGCTGATACAGAGTCCAGATAGATCCTTTTCGACAAAGAGAGATTTTCCTAAGGAAGTTACCAGAACATTCCATCGATGTCTAGAAGCTGAGAAAAGGGTATATAAGGCCTGAAGAAAGTCAAAGAATTGTCCAACTTATAGACAACAATCTGCTACTTTTTCAATTCGTTCAATTGAAGCAGCCGTGCTTGCAATCCAGTGTAGCTTTGTCATACTAATGACCACGGCAAATTGAAGGCAGAATTTTGTTCTCATTCAAGAAATCCAAAACATTGTCTGCTAGATCCTTTGATACAAAACATTGTCTGTTAGATCCTTTGATACAAAACATTGTCTGTTAGATCCTTTGCTCCATGGGAAAATATGGAAGTTAACTTGATAAAACGTTTCACAAACTTACATCCTCGACCGTAAATGTCAGTGGATCAATGTGTGAACTGTCTGAAGTGGAAGCATAACTTATTGAATAATACTTTGACTCTGTAATTTCTTCCAGAATAGGACAAAGGACATGTTGTCCCATTAGATCAATAAATTATTCTCAAATATTTGGCGAAAGTTATGATGTTATCCTTTCCAGCATTTCCATTATAGTTTGAGATGCTCTCCCAAAAAAGGATTACATTCACTCAACAGCTCTAAAATACCTAAACAATGTCCATTACTTACTGACCAAAAAGTTTGATCCAAACCTCTGGAGGCAAGAAAGTGAACAACATAAACCCCACAAGTCAGAACTTGATGCCAGTACTTCTGTTTTGACCTATGGTCTTTGATTAATAAAGGACCCAAACACCTAGCTTCTTTCAGTCGAAGCAAATATGCGGACATATCCTTGCAATGCACTACTCCATGTTCATGCTCTACAATAATATTGTTATGTTTCCAATAATTGAATCCTGATATAGCAAAGGGGAAAACTTTTTTGTACAATAGACGACACACAAAACAATACAAACAACCTTGGTATGGTGAATAGAGAAGCCATTCAAGTTTTACATACTCGCCATTCCTCAGTTCACGTTTGAACATATTTCTTGATAAATACTTTGTCTACGTTCTTTCTTCTCCAGCTCTGCCTGAGTTTGAAAGGTCGCAGTCATGATTCTGACACAATGATGGCCCACCACGAATTCAGTACTCAACTGAACAAGTGTTCTTAATATTTCATAGCCCGGGATCTGTGTTGGTGAATCACAGACTCTCGTTGTCTGACAGCTTTGTGTGTTTCAGCTTTTACAATTTCCCCAGCAGATTAAATATGCAATGATATTGTCTGGAACTAGATGGCTGGATCCAATAGAGGATATAGATGACGCTACTTTATTTTGAGGAGCAGTATTAGTCACTGATATTTCGATTGGATTTAACCAAGATGTAAATTTTGCAAGTTTACCCGTTTTCCTTATCTCCTCAGCTCTTTTTCTCTTCTGTGCTTCAATTATAAAACTAATTTTTATTCGCCCTTAAGGGGTTAAACACCTAGAAATATATTCATTGGTTACAAGTATTTCTATAGTAATAGCAGCAATCCGTTTAAAATGGATTTGTCTGTCACTTCAGACTGACACGTGCCCCGCTAAAAACGAACATCGGGAAATGATCAATAGCCATGGTGCCATTAATAAAATCGATCTCTGTGTTTGAGCTACCCAGTATGTAAAATAAAAATGACTTTGAGTTTTAAACAGTGAGCACAATTATGTCTAAATGCCTATATATTTCTGCCTACAGCTCAGACATACGGTGACCGTTGGGTTCTATTTATCATCTAAATATGTTTTTTAGACACAGAATAAAAAATATTTTTCTGTTTAAAAAATATGAAGTTATTTGGGATTCGATTTTTGTTATTAATAAATTTACTTTTAAAAAGAATTGTTCATTGGTGACCTATATATTCCTTATATAATGCTAATTAAATTCAGTAGTTCTTGAACTGGTGCTAGGATAGATTTTTATCCACTAATTTCACTACGGAGCGATGGCGCATCTTTTCGATTCATATCTGGGAGAAGTAAAATTTGTTGACGAGAGTCATTCCCCTTTAAAGGTTTAACTTGTGATTCGCATTTATAATATTAATTTTGGAACGTGCCGAGAAAATCGTGGGTTAAAATGGGGAAACATGCTGTCCACTGATTTTTAAATCAAATTTAATTGCCAAAACTTTTCAATATTCATTAATAATATGTGCAACATAATGCCATTATAAGAGTGAGTCTCCTAGAAGCAAGGGGGCCCCCCAGAAGCGCGGGGCCTTGGGCCAGTGCCCACTGTGCCCATGCCTTAAGACGGCACTGGCCATTACACATGAAAAAGCTGTGGAATGAAAAATTGAATTAACACTGGTAATCAGTTAAAAACTAAATCAGAAGATAAAGTTTTAGCCCAAAAAAGTGACTCCTCTTCACTTTGCACCAGTAGTTCTCGACAGCCAGCAGGATGAACGAACCTCTCCCATATTGTGCAAGGAGTTCCATGCGATCCTCTCCCATATTGTGCAAGGAGTTCCATGCGAACCTCTCCCATATTGTGCAAGGAGTTCCATGCGACCCTCTCCTTAAACCACATGCCACTGTACAATTTCGTTATAAATCATAACAGAGGCTAAGTGGTTCAAATAGTAACAGAGACTGACATTTTATGATTCACATTCAGTGACGTTCACAATAAGAAATATATCCGAAAACACTCAGAACGTGTCGTGTGAATTTCAATTACTAGCTTCTCGGTAATCTTCTTCACTTGATCACGTGTCAGCATGCTATAGATCTTCGTTTAAAACATCAACGATCTGTTCAATCTTGTCATACCAATTTCTTGATTCAAACAACCATTTTATGCAACTTCCATCGTGTTTCACTGTTCGCTCTCACTGGCCAGTTTTCTCAAATCCCAATACTCTTATATTATATCAGTGATAACTCCCATATTACTCATCTAACATATCCGATATATTCATATTTATATCTGTGACACCACATAAGGTGAAAGACGGAGATACACTGATTACTTTCGTTTTAATTAAATTATATTTCATCTTCCATATTACAGCTTTGGAATTTTTCTGAAAGCTCCATATCCAGGTGGGATTTGAATCCATCACACCCATTGGGGAATAACAAAAACAATTCCCCCCCCCCTCCCCCCAACTGAAAATAATTGAGCATTTGAAATAACCCCCCCCCTCCCCGGTAACATAATAGCACAAGTTATTTTCCAAATGTTACACACTAAACATCTGTTCATCTTCCATATTACAGCTTTGCAATTTTTCTGAAAGCTCCAGACCCAGGTGGGATTTCAATCCATCACACCCATTGGGGAATAACAAAAACAATTCCCCCCCCTCCCCCCAACTGAAAATAATTGAGCATTTGAAATAACCCCCCCCCTCCCCGGTAACATAATAGCACAAGTTATTTTCCAAATGTTACACACTAAACATCTGTGGAAACATCCCTGAAAATAATCCAGCTGGTTTTATTTTTTATGTCAAAAGTTGAATGCCTCTGTGAAAAGGGCAACAAACCCAGTAGGGCTTTCGAGGCAATTTTGATTTAGACGTTAACCCGCCGGCACTTAACTTTCTTGACACGAAAAATCAAATGATGGGCCTGTCACGTGAATTGAATTGTCATTTATTGGTCAATTTAAAAATAAAAATAATAAAAAACTCAATGCGTGTAACTTAAAGGAATAATTTTGAGGTAAAACAGTTTCACGATCAATTTAATTTCCAGCTTTGCTGTAAACTTTAAATTATTTTAAACACATCGGGTGTCTCAAAAATTGCAGCTGGATAATGTAAAGGTGACATAAAGAAGTAAACTTATGCTACCATTTACTGATTCAAATATTTAGGGCCAAGTATTAAAACTGGGTTAGTCACTCTCTGGTCTACTTCAAACTTTAAGAAAATTATCATTGCACCCTACGACTTATTACAATGTTTAAAAAAGAATACGGCCAACGTACAGACATTTTTATGGAAAATGACGGTTATTAAATTTTTTTTTTATCAACTGTCGAGATCATTTGGTTTATTGTAAGGAAATGTCAACATAGAGCTTGTAATTGTACTGTTGGACCAACCAATCAATGACCACATCTTTGTGTCACCAACACCTAACACATGTAATTGGACATACATTGAATTTCAATAATTTGAAAACTTCCTGATATATATAAAAAAAATTATATTTATTTTAAAACACGTGACTGGTTAGAAAAGACGTTGATTTGTAGTGTAGCTTCAACCATCGATTTATTTATAAATACATGTATCAACGTTTGAGGAGTAATGTTTATAAAATTTCAAATACGGATGAAAAGTAGGAAAAGCATTCACTACAAAGCTGATATTCATAGATTCGTCTTTTTACTTTTTACTTTTTGTAAGGCTTGTCATAAATATGATGATAGAATAAAAGCTATTTAGTTGACGTGGTTGTCTCTCAGGGATGAAAGTAAGGGACATGGACGACGCCAACAATTACTTAAATAACACTGTCGGCGTCACGCCGACTGTCAACATCCTGGTCACGGATGACCAACACGCGTTGATAATGTCCGTGTACTCAGCCGTCGGCGTGGTCGTCTCTTTGTTCGGACTCGTCACCAACGCCATCAACATGAAAACATTCGTTGCCATGGGAGCGGAAGACGGCGTCACGATGTCGTTCCTGTTCCTGTCGTCCGCCGAGTTCGTCTGTTTTTTGGCGGCGCTCGGCCAGGAAGTGGGCATGGCTCTTCGGGTGACGGAAAAAATCAGCGGCTATCAGATTGTTTTCGGTTATCAGCCGATGGTGTTCAATCTCTTCTTTGCGAACGTTCGAAATTGCCTGTTTACCATTCCGGTCTTGATTACGCTGTATCTCTCCGTGGCTAAATGCATGTGCGTCGTCAAACCGCTGCATTTTAAGAACACGTTTTCCAAGCAGAGAACCGCGTGGGTTTTGATGGGGATCTCCGTGTTCGCCGTCACCAGCTACGTCCCCATCTTCACCAGCGCCGGTGTCAGCGTACAGTACGATCCGAACATCAACCAGACCAGACCAATGCTATGGCTGTCGCTTAACCGGGACGTCGTGGTGAATATTGTGCGGAGCATCCGAGATTCGTTCCCCGCTTTCGCCTCACAGGGTGTTATCACCATCTGCGTTTTCGTCATGTCCAAAGCGTTACGCAAAACGGCAAAGTTCCGAGCCTCCGCCAAGACATGGATCGCCGCCCACGATCGGCACGACGAGAAACTGAGGGGCGCCGAGTTACAGGTCATCAAGCAGGTGGTGGTCATCTCTGTGGTTTACATTGTTGGCAACACGCCCAAAATTATCGTCATACTCGCGTCCTCCCTGGTGGCCGAGCTGAACATCGGGAAACGCTACCAGAACTTGTCCAACATCCTCTCCAACACGCGAGAGCTCATCGAGATGATGATGTCCGCCGTCAACATTGTCATCTACTACAAGTACAACTCCACGTTTAGGAGAAACTGCACGGTCGTCAAATGTTATTTAAAAGTCAGCAGATCTACATTGTAGATGTATTACTTTTATTCGTGGTAGTGTAGTACACTTTTGTATGTCTCTAAAATACCTTTTATGAAGGAAGGTTTTTTTTTATTTTTTATTTTGAGTTACAAACTTAAAAAAAAATAAATTCAGAATGGGAAGCTAAACTCAAAAAATAACTTTATTGATGGGAGCTTTTATAACCACGGAGAGAAAACAAAAACTTAACGTGTGATTACGATAGTGGCAAAGGACGAGCCTTGTTATCGATGCTTCATAAATACGCAAAAAAGTGGAAGGAAACAAGTTTAACCCTTGGTTAATCGAACGTCAAACTTTAGCACGATTTGTTACGCAGTGAAACTCTGCAAAGTTTGTCTACAATGTTGTATTCGGCAACAGATATTTCATTAAACAATTTTTTTTAGGGCATCGGTCCATTTCAAGGAGACCAAATTAGTTAGTTTTTTTAAATTTGGGTGTTGCAGTTGGGAGTTGCTGAAGCACATATCTGGGCGAGAAGTTTGTATGGAGAAAAAGCAGATTCTCAGTCAACAAATCAAAACTCTCTTTGCTGCTGGTGAGCGCAGGAGAGCATCAAACGGATGATGCAGCCTGTCGACAGAGGAATTGAAAAAAAAAACGCAATAAAAATTTCACTCAGCTTAAATTCTGAAATTTCGCTCATCAAATTAATTGGAGAAAATGGCTTGGCTCCAACGTTAGCGGGATGAATTTGTTTTCACTGCAAGTTTTCTTCCGGTAAAATCATTTTTAGAAAACTCAGAGGAATATTTCCTGGAAAAGACGATGCAAGTACTTTTAATTTCAGCTTCAGGCGTGATATATTTATTTCACATGAAGTTGAAAATAGCTGTAAATGCTTGAAATGTCGTGAAGCGAGCTGTGGGTCCAGCTATAATGGAAATCAATGTCAGGGTCAAACATTCGTTTCTTATGAAATTGAATTCTTGGCATGGTTCAGAAGACGTGTTGGAATCACGCGGGGTGTACTCAAAAAATATGTTTCCATTTTTTTAAAATTGGGAATTCATGACTGATGTCTGCTGTTCAACCTGACCTTTGACCTCTTATAGAAATTTCGCAACTCATCCTGAAAAATATCCCAGTTTACGCATCAATATTTTTAGAGTGGTCATTTCAATCTCAGTAGCAGCTTTCTGGGCTCGAAAAGTGTCGCTGCAAGGGTGAATCACGCTTACTTGTTTTCACTCAAAACGTTGCCACAATGACACACAAGAAGAATGTCCTATCTTTAATAGCTCCATTTACATATATATTTTTCACTCAAAACGTTGCCACAATGACACACAAGAAGAATGTCCTATCTTTAATAGCTCCATTTACATATATATATATATATATATATATATATATATATATATATATATATATATACGTGCTTTTGAGCTCAGATTGAGATTCAAAACTGTCCTCAAAGCTTCAATTACTTCAGGCAAAAGATTGCAAAAAGGTTCTGTCAGTCCAGAGTCCATGGAACGAAAAACCACCAATATTTTTCATTGGTATATCCACTTGATGTGTACTTGTTAAGTTTATTATGTCGACAGTTTGAACAACTCCAATTGTTTTTTGTTATCAGACTCCGTACATTTTGAAGTTGCATTCAAGCCATATAAATTCAATGAGCGACCTCCACACAGTGAAAAGACAGACGAGTGTGCCCTGCTTGAAAAGAAATGCATGAACTCCTTTATACTTTCCAGTCGCGTTTAAACCATTGTCATATCCCAGACCGCCACAATACACCAAGGGAATTTTCAATACGAGTCTCAATGACTAACTGGACCACATCAGATCCAATTTTTGTTGAACCAACAGCACGTGTAAAAAAAGCACACAAAAAAAAAACAAAAAAACAAAACAAAACAACCTCCTCCTTATTGAAAACAATTCAGTTTCAGGTTGTTTTAACACACATTGGATAGAAAAGTGCGTGTTGCGTTCAAAATGGCTCACATCAACCATGATTGAAAAATACTTGTCTGATTCGGGCTCACATAAGATATGGCTTCGGGAAAACAGCATTGGTACACAGGTGCCCCATCACTGCGGGCAGGGCCTCGGGGCAGGGCCTCGAGTGATTTACTCGGTTGCCTTGCCTTCTCCACGACCATGATAGAAACACGCAATGTAAGAAATAATCAATGAATGTTTAATGTGAAAGTTAAAAACAATTTATATTTTCGTTTTCTATATTGTGATTTAAAGGATCAAGCGATTATTTTTCTTTTACTATTTTATTTTTCAATCAATTTTTTAATTTATACGTTGCAAATTTTTTAAAGAATTTGACTGAAACATAAATAATGCAAACAAATACATTGGACATCAGGTTATCAGTTACAGGTGATTAAATTAAAACAGACTGATTATTTAAAAAAAAAGAGACAATTCCGTTTTCTTAAAATTTTTTGTTTTGTTTTTAATGCTTATGTTGTTTCCATTCCAGAATTCAATGATCTGTTTAAAATATTATTTCAGTTTGTGTATATACAACCACATGTACCATTTTATACTTCATATATAAAACACCAGCTCCCAGATTCCTATGCAAAGTATTTGATCTGAAAATTTGTGTAAATAAGTACCTGCTGATGCCCAGCAATGTAAATGAAGTCGTTCCCAGAAGAATATTGCGATAATTGGCTCGCTGGAGTTAAAACAATCATTATAGAGCACACGTTATAAAATATTATGTATGGGAGACACTTCCTGCAGTGCACCAATCGTACTGCAGACATGTTACAATATGGGAGACACTTCCTGCAGTGCACCAATCGTACTGCAGACATGTTACAAGGGCACGCCATGTTGGCAACGGGGTCTGGACACACACACACAAACAAAATATAAGAAAATAACAACAAAACATGTCCAAGTACATATACATAATCTCATAATGCGTCACATTAATATGTGATATTTTTGTCGCTTTGATTCAGTCAAATTTGTTAGCATAAAAAAAAATGTGCTGCCACCAGAGAAGGCGACGTTACAGTGGTATCCTGTTTTTTTAATTTTTTTTTAATGTATTGTGCCGGCGACTTGTTCCATTCGCTGAAGCTGACACGTGACGTGGTTGTGACGTTACCAGACACCCAGAGAGCGCATGACTAAATTATGATTTAATACCCAATCGCACGCTGTGGTATCTTTCGTGTAAAAAAAAAAAAGGAATCTTCAATACGTCTTTCTATTATTTCAGTCGTTTTCATCATTAAAAAACTACTGTAGGATATTAAATATCTTTTCCATACATATCTCACTTATTTGTATTAACTCTATTACATCTACCCTCTTAGAGAAATTGTGGTATAGTCCAGAAAATTCTGAATTCAAATCTATATTTGCGCAGCACAGTTTAAATTTGTGAATCATCATAACCAGACAGAAATCTTGTTGAACTCCAACACATCTAACTAGCAAATAGCAAAAGGGAGAAATAATTGTTAAAATGGGAAAACAATATTTCTTTTTAAAGCAAACTTTCGGGTTTAAATTATTATGAACATTTGGATTTTGAGAAGAGCTAAAAGCTTTGGATAAATTGATATAAGAAATTATTTGTAAACTCTTGCTTCTATTCTGCTTTCATCGATCTGCTATGAGATCGAATTGGCATGATTTAAATTATCATAACTATCGCCTGCAGACTTTTGGATTTATTTGACGTAGCAATCATATGTCAATAAATTTACCTCAGTAATCCAGTTCCTTAACAATAGAAAAAAAGGAAATTATCAATATATTGAATCTTTATTTAAACATATTATATAAAAAAAAATAAAGAAACTGAATATCCATTTATCTTGCATTGTTATGAAAAAGAATTTGGTATTTCTTTCCAAGACGAGAGAGAAATTCGACATTTTTTTTTTATATTACAAACACACATTTAACCTTATGAACAAATAATTTGAACATATAAATGGTTAATATTCACACAGGTTCATTTGAATTTCATCAAACATATATTCTAATGTTTTCATAATTTGAAAAATTTTCCCATACCCATTTTCCAAGTGAGTATTTATTTAAATTGGTTTAGAAATTGTTTCCTTGTCTTTACTTTTAGATCGAACGATGACATCTTTAAGATAAGTATTAACATACACCAGGTAATTAGATTTAAAGACAAAATGTTATCAATTTCGCACGCCGATTGATTATATACAATTGCTTGTGCGTGAACTCCAAAATATAACTTGAACATTACAAACCATTTCTTGGCCATTGTTAATAGGAAGAGTTTTGGAAAGTTTTGCTGAGAAAAAAAAGGTTTCAGGAAAATCGAGAAGGTAACCAAGTGAGCCGCGGAGATATGTCTCAAAACAATGTATCCATGAGTTACACAGAACTTATGAACATGAAAAAAATTCTGATCATCAACACTCTGGTGACAGACGACCAGTACGCCGTGGTCATGGGCATCATTTCTGTCATGGGTACCGCGGTGTCCCTATTCGGACTGGTCAGTAATGCCATGATAATCAGAACGTTCACGGCCATGGGAGTGGACGATGGGATGTCTGTGTCGTTCTTGTTCCTTTCCATTTCTGAACTGGTCTGTTTTTTAATGGCGATCGGCCAGGAGGTGTCCATAGCCTTTTGGGTCGTGGAGATCGGAAGCCACTACAATATATATTCGACGGTCCACCCGTACGTGTTTGTTAACTTTTTCGGAAATGCCCGAAACTGTCTTTTCGACGTCCCGGTACTGATAACGTTGTACCTGGCCGTGGCGAAATGTATGTGCGTTGTCAAACCGCTTCACTTTAAAAACATGTTCTCGGTGAGTAGGTCTGTTTGGGTGACGGTCGGAATTTGCATATTTTCTGTAGGGAGCTATGTGCCTATATTTGCCAACACCGGGGTCACGTGGGAGTTTGATAAAAACATCAACCGGACCCGGCCGATGTTGTGGGCGTCGCCCTATCGGGATGTCATCAAGAACATCATCTGGACAGTGAGGGACTCGGTGCCTTGCCTCGCGTCGCAGGTCATAATTGTTATCTGCATCTATTTCATGTCCAGAACTCTACTCGAGGCGGCTAAATTCAGGGGCAGTTTGGTCGCAGCATCCACGTCACGAAGAAATGCGGAATCGTATGATAACAACAATCAGGGGATGAAAAGACCCAACCTCAAAGAGACACAAATCATCCAGCAGGTTGTGCTCATCTCAGCTGTCTACATCGTGGGGAATACCCCCAAAATTGTGATTTTCTTGGCATTTATTCTGGTTCCAGGTTTAACCCTAAATACTCCGTATCAAAATGTGTACCTCATCATCATAAACATCAGAGAACTCATTGAAATGATCACTTCTTCTGTGAACATTTTCATTTATTATAAATACAACTCGAAATTCAGAAGTCACTGCAAGTGTTGATGGATTATTTGGACATTTAAAAAAAAATTAAATAAAAAGTTAGTTAGTTATTTTCTTCGAAAAAATGAGACATTCTACCAGAACAGTTAAAGCTTGTTACCAATTGATAATTTCACCTCAAATGTATAACATCTCAGTGATTATTTTGTATTTTACAATTTTAACAAATCTTGTGTGATCAAAGTGACGTTGCTTGAAGTGTCAACGTTTAATTAATCGAATAGTTCAAATGTTTGGCGACTTGAGAAATGATGAAAATTGTTGTTTTTTTCAGCACGACATTCGTTCATTAGTAAATAAATAAGATTGAGTTGACCCCATATTTTAAAAACAAAGATGATTATTTTCTATTCTGTGGTTGTTAGCTATTATATATTTCATAACAAAATGATACCACCAGAGCTAGAATACCATAACAAAATTGTTCGACGGAGCTATGAAACTATAACAAATTTGTACCATCAGAGGTATGAAACCATAAAAAAAATTTATGAATTGAAAATAAATTATTTTAAAAAATGGTCAAATGGTAAGTGAGTAAGATATATGGAAGATCCTAGTTCAAATATGTTATTCTTCTTTCTCTAACTATCATTTACATAATTTTCAAATTAAGTCCTTTTTAAAATGTGATAAACAAAGTTACTGAACCAAAAGAAAATTGGTATTCTAAATATCTACGAATTTATTTTAATGTTCAACTTATAATTGAGAGGAGCAGGTCACATTAATACTTATAATACAAAGTGAGCTCTGCAGATAGCTCACTGCAACATTCACTGTTGGAACGATGACGGCCAGCCATGAAGCCTAATCATTTTGAAAATCTTGTAACATCATTATTTGATCGTACCGGGAACGACTTTGTAAATATATTGAGACAGGAAGGGGATAGTTCCGGTCCAGCTCTTGTAGTTATTCCCTGACACTGATTGATATTATAGCTAAAAACTAAATTTCTTAGCATTCTAACATGACGTTATATTATTTAATCAATTTTAACTGCACAGTACTGAAATATAGTGTGAGAGATTAATTGATACCTAAATTAATTTATAAAAAAATGTAACTTTCTTTTAATGTTGTAGTTTTTGAAATAGAAAAAAAAAATCTGGTTAGCCCGTTTCTTAATGTTGTGTTTGACCAGGGTATGACAACTTATGTGTTAAAAGACACACATTGAAAAGAAAGTTTTTTGTTTATTTTTTGACAGATCGCTTGATTATTGTCTATGACTGTAGACTTCTAATACAAAGAACTGAGCACACTTTTAAAACTTAAAGTAATTTAATTACCAGCAGAGGCGTCGCCTTGGATAGGTATGTTATACCACGGGCTTCAAGATTGTAACATAAACTAGCAGCACATAAAAATGACCACCACACATTCACTCGGATTTCAGTTTGAAAACAGTGAGATAATTTTTATATATGTCATTTTTATTAAACCGCTAACCAAACTATTACACTGTGATTAGTAAATTCAAAAGCTTCTACATTTTATGAAAATTGTGTATTTTTCTCGAAGGCTTTGCGGGCCGCATTAAAACGTCTCGGTGGGTCGCATGTTGCCAACCTATTTATCAGACAAACCTGAAGGAAGAGTATTCTATAAGGAGAAAAATGAATCAAAGTTGTAGATTCCCCACTAGCACAATCATCATGTGCACTGTATTTATTTAATTTCAGATCGCAGTAGACTTGACATGTGCCTCATACATATGCCACGACCATCAATTTCAATATACAACACTCTGACCCATCACCATAAACCACCAACAGAACTAAAAATAGCACCATTGAATGAACAACAGGAAGTGACGGTTTTTAAAAGGGTCTCTGGCCCGAGGACACTGCGCGAAGATACTTGTTTTAATGTCCAGGTTTGTGACACTTCAATCTTGCTGTTAGAGTGCTGGGACTAAGTCACCCCTTCTTACAGATACTGCCTTTGATCACGTTGTCTTTCAGAGTCGAACTGTTGCCATAGGTGGTTTACAGATCTGAGACTATGCTAGAAAAAAATAAATAATCTCAAACACAGAAGGGAAGTTTCTGGAAATATCCCTCCGACGAGTCAGTCACGTTCGGTGATATGCCATGACTGGGTTTGACACAAATCAAAAATGAACGGGTACGATGCTAAACACGTATAATAAAACAAAGTCTATTGTCAACAAACAGATTTAGTTTTCTAAACATTTATACGATTATAATATATTTTCTTCACAGCCCGGTGATGACTCATTGTAAGTCTTGATTTTATTCTCCACGCATTGAAGTAAAGAAGAAAAAAAAAACACTTTCAAATGGTGTGAATGGGAGAGCTCACGAAATCGGTCACTGGTTGAGAAGAAAGAACACAATATAGAGCATTAAGAGAGAAGTGGGAACACCCATCCTTTTACGGCATCGAGGTCAAGTGCACCCTCGACCAGAATGAGTGCCCGCAAATACGAAGGCTCTTGAGCGGCGATCGAAATGGGCGGTGAGGCGATCTTCCGAAGGATCGGAGAGAGAGGGGGAGAGGGAGGATGACCTTTTAAAAACTCAAGGCGAAATCTATCGTAATACAACATGACTTTATTGCATGCGTAAGTCAAGTACAATTGAATCAAGTATCGTGTACACTCTAGAATCAGGTTAACCTCAGCTCTTGTTTTCCAAGTGTCGAGAGTTTAACTTTGTAGATACGTACATTTAGAGGAACATGATTGCTGACAATTTGTGCAGCACACTAGACGTTTGCTTGGACAGGCACTGGGCACTAAAATTACTTTGGGATTGTCCATTAAATCTTTTTTTTTAAAATAAAGATAAAGACATTGTCTAGATGACCCAATTGAACGGCAAGCCAATTTTAACGGTGACGTAACAGGGTAGAGATTTACTTGAATTTAAAATATAGCTCGCGGCCCAAGTGAACAGAAACAATACATTGTATTTGGATATCTAATGTTGTGAGCTATAGATGTGTATGCGATGGTATAAAACAATATCTTCTATGAATTTTATAATTCAAAAACACTAATTCTTTTCGTAACTAGCTATAGGAATTGCTGTAAAGTTCTTTAGTGTATACTGGTAGTGATCCCATGAAACTTTTAAAATGGGATATTTTTTTAAATAAAAAAAACCCCAGTTGTACTGACCAATGTAAACGATTTTCTTTGAATATATTTACCAACGAATCTATTTATAGAGTAATACAAAAAGAACACAAATAAATGTAACGACACAGCTCCATGACATACGAACATAAAAGGTGAAGATAAAATGTCGAACTCAAGTGCCTTAAACAATGACTCTCGAACCGAAGCCATGATTTTACTGACCGAACATCAGTTCGCTATAATAGAAGGCTTTTACTCAACCCTCGGTACGGCCGTGTCTCTGTTTGGACTGGTCACTAATGCCATAAACATATACACATTTGTCGCCATGGGAGCAGACGACGGGGTCACCGTGTCGTTCCTGTTCCTGTCGGCCGCGGAGTTCGTCTGCTTTTTGGCGGCGCTCGGCCAAGAAGTCTCCATGATATTCTGGTTCATTGAAATGATAACCGGCTACCGTACCGTATTTTCTATCCAGCCCATGGCCGCCAACGGATTCTTCGGCAACATCCGAAACTGCCTGTTTACGATCCCCGTGCTGATCACCTTGTATCTCGCCGTCGCCAAGTGCGCGTGCGTGGTCAGACCGCTGCATTTCAAAAACATGTTCTCCGTGAGACGGACGGTGGCCGTCATGACGGGGATCTGCGTCTTCGCCGTTCTCAGCTACCTGCCCATCTTCCCGACACTGGGCGTCATCGTGGACCTGGACCCGTTCATCAACCAGACCCGACCGGTGCTGTACATCTCCCCGTACCTGGACATCATTAAGAACGTCGTGTGGAACGCGCGGGATTCCGTCCCGTCTTTCGCATCTCAGATCATCATCATCGTGTGCATCTTCCTCATGGCCCACACGTTGAGTCGAGCGGCCAGCTTCAGGCAGTCCACCAAGGCGGCGAGGATCACGACAGACGCCGCGGACAGCGGTGTGCTGGTACTGAAATCCAGCGCCAGACTCAGCGGCACTGAGTTGCAAGTGATCAAGCAGGTGGCCGTCATATCTGTCATCTACATCATTGGCAACACGCCCAAGATACTAGAGTTCATAGCGTTTATCCTTTTCCCGGATCTAACGCAGCACCACCAGTTTTTAACCATAGCCATGGCCAACTCTAGAGAACTTATCGAGATGATCATGTCGGCTGTCAATATCATCATCTACTATAAATACAACTCAAAATTTAGAAGCTTCTGTAAATTTTAGAATATTTATTCGTTTTTAGTTTGATGACTCGATAGGATGACGGGAAGTGTGTCAATTAGATTTCGTCACCACAAAGAAACACACGGGAAAAAAAAGCGAAGCTCTATATGAAGCATTTTAAAATAGCCCTAAATAGACTTGTCAAAAAAAGCAAGTAATATCACACAATGAAAACGATCTTCGCTTGAAATACTATTTGAAGCAAAATGCATTAGTGAAACTAAACAAATTGGGTAATAAATACATCCCATTCTCTTTATCATCAACACCGAGGGCTGATTTTTGCACTTATTTAAAAAACACATCAGATGGCTTTTGTTTAAATGGTTCTAGGTTAGGGTGACCTAACGTACCGTAACAACGGGATTGTCCCGTTTGTTCACGATCGTACCCGGTGTCCCGAAAAAGTGTCTGGGGACGCCTAAATGTCCCGTTTCTAAAATCAAACACAGTTTCAAATTACTAAAACTTACTAATTTATAATATAAATTCAAGTAATATAATTTTGGCTGGCTGAGTAGCCAATGCCAGTAGTGATGTGGGCTCGCGGGATGGCTGCACTGTTCCCCCCTCCCTCCACCACTCTGCCGACGCTGCGTAAAAGACAGTGCCCCTGCCATATTCACTGAAAAATTATTTTTTTCGTTTATGATATGCCTCAGAGTTTAAATTAAATGACAAAAGTGAAGGTAAATTTAAAAGTATTTCTAGTTCTCAAAATAGTTAAAATGAGTATATTTCAATAAACAGTTTCCGACGGAGGCCCCCAGACCCCTATTTAGCTTGAGGGTTCCCCCCCCCCAACCCTCCTTTGATGTGTCCCGTTTTTTCCAGTTCTTGATTTGGTCACACCCTATTCTAGTTTTAAATATTCTTTTATGTTTGGAACATATTTATACATTTTCTGATAATCAATATGAACATTGTAATCAAAACACATTTCCCTTTGTTTCTATCATTAAAATAATCTTAACTTATCTTATCTTAATCTGCCTTTATTTCTGACAATTTAAAATCCCGTATCATGGACAACGGAGAAACCCGCAAAATATATTGACAATATTGCAAAGCACAAACATCGTTTCCTAAATCTATCAGCATAAACATAATCCAGTATGATGATGACCTGTTTTTAGGTTTCACTTGGATGGTAAACTATTTGTTAAACACTTGCTTTTTAACAGTGGTTGGTCCGGAAGTCGATGGAGAGTTTAATTTCATTGTTGAAATCACAATAATTCGAAAACTGCGGGGGTTTAAAAAAATTAAAAAATTGAAATTTGCAAGTTAACGTGGAAAAGTCAAGTAAATAATAGTGCTTTAAAAAACTATTGTGCAATCATTGAATTTGATAAAATATTCAAATAATTAAAAATTTTTTTGTAGTAACATTAAAGGTTATAAATAGCAAACTTAATTTCATTAAAACCTACAAGTTTTGCCTACTTTTCATACACGACTGGAAAAGACCGCAATACAAGTCTATGGACATCACGACGGGGGGACATTCAACGCTCGAGACAGCCTGGGTGCCTACGGGAGAAGGGGGGGGGAAGTCTAATAAGTTGGTTTTGTCTTGAGACGGTATCGCGTCAACGAGAGTTAATTAATGAAAGGTCGTCCTTACCTGTCGGAAAAATGTCAAAATGGCAGGAGTTCATGTCGGTAGCCATCACGTGTCTTGGTATGCGTTTAATCAAAATTTGAGTTCCAGCGAGATCCCAACATAGCTCACACACATACACACACACAGACACAAAGAGAGAGAGGGAGAAATCCACTAATCTCGCATGAGCGCTTTTTTTAAAAAATATTTATCGTAGACCGAGTATGCACCTCTTCCCATTCCAACAGATGTGTGATCATTGGCCAACTAAAGGATTTGATTTTTCGTGTGATCGATTTTAAAGTACTTGTAAATAGGAGTCCCTATGCCTCATACTGCGACATCATTCGTGATCTTTACCTCCTCTGTTGTGTAATATGTAATCTACCAAATGGGGTAATGCATATGATAGGAAAATCCTCAGAGAAATGTACGGCCCAATGGTGGAAAATGATGACTGGGAATCCGTAGAAACCAAGAGCTTTACCAATGGTACAAAGACCAACCCATAGTCGCAACGATAAAAAAAGGCAGACTATGTTGGGCAGGACATGTTGAAATGTTACCGGAATGTAGAGCAGCAAAAAGTGATATAGACAGAAACCTAGGGGCAGACGGCTCACGGTCGCCCAGGCTGAGATGGATCGACGATGTGGAGACGGCTGTACACCAGTTGGGGGTTCGCGCATAGAGGCGGAAAGCCATGGATCGTTCCGAGTGGAAAGATGTTGTGGAGCAGGCCATGGCCATACATTGGCAGAAGCGACGCTGATGATAATGATGTGATAGAGATGCAGACAAAACACAAAGACAAACACTCGTTCCAGGCAACGATATGAATTGACAACCAGCTTAGATTGTTTGCCCCTTTGTATATTTCTTTAAATGTAATCATGTATGGATTTATCACAGTTGAAGAAAAGTGATTTTTTTTTTTACATTGGTAAATAATCCAAATTGTTTACTTTCAACATAGGTGAAGACTCAAATGTTTTTTTTATAATGAATCATTTACATACACATTTTCCTGAATCTTCTAAGTTGTTTACAAATTCGTATTGAAAGTAGGCTGCATTAGTCTATCCGTATGTCAGGCTGACATCAATTCAAACTTTATTATCATTTAGTTGTTACACGTTTCTTCAGCCGGAGACTGAATCTATAACAATAAATGTAACAGTAATAAAAATAATATAATAATAATGAACTACACCATGACGTTCCATGTGTTCGATTATGTGAAGGAATCGATACTTGTTCAATCTCGTGATCTTTCAAAAATATTTAATAACTCTAAGTTTTAGAGAGAAAAAAATGAAAGTTAAACATGGCTGCCAATTTTGTATGTGTTGAAAGAGTAATGTTTCCCTTTATTAAAAAAATGTCAATTGGGTGACTATTACTTAAATAATACTTCTTAATGGCGTTTTAACTGAAAATCAGAAAATCGATATCCACGTTATTACAAAAAATGCACCTCTGATTGATGAAACATTTTCTAAAAAGCATCTCGTTCAATCATCGTAAACAGCTATTATGCACCTGACTATGTTAACTACAAGACAAAAGTAGTCTGTCTAAAACTGTGAACAGTAAGCTTTCAAAAATACTTGATTCCATAGCTATTTACAATTTCCTTCAGCTTTTAAATCTTTTAGAATGGACAAACATAACACAACTTACAGTCAAACTGGCAACAGTATTCAAAGTACAGGCGCCCTATCAACCAGACCATTCACCGACACATTGATAACAGATGACGAGTTTTTCGTTCTAATGACTGTGTTCACTGTCTTGAATGCAACACTCTCCATGTCTGGAATGGTCGCCAACACAATTAACATAGTAACTTTTCGGAAATTGGATGCTCGCGATAACTTTCTTATGTGCTTCTTGGTTCTATCGTCCGTCGATTTCCTCTGCAGTTTGTCGGCGTTTATGCAACAAGTCGCAATGACATTTTGGATTCTAGAAATCGTGAGCCATAACAAAATAGTTTTTCCTATTGAACCCAGGGCCATGTCTGTCGTGTTTGCTAACATTCGCTCTTGTCTGATCAATGCTCCGGTTCTCATTACGTTATATCTATCCATATCGAAATGTTTGTGTGTTGTCAAACCATTGCAATTTAAAAAGATGTTTTCTTTCAAGAGGAATGCTGGAATATTGATGGGAATTTGCACATTTGCACTGGTCAGTTACATTCCGGTGTATGCCAGCACTTGGGTTATCTCCCAATATGATCAAACTGTTAACGCCACGCGACCCATATTGTGGCTGACACCTTACCGGGACGTCATTCGGAATGTCTTGTGGATCATCAGGGATACATTTCCTTCAATGGCTTCGGAAGTGATCATCATTATCTGCGTTAAGTTTATGTCGAAAGCTTTGAGGGAAGCAGCGAAATTTCGAGCATCCCTTAAACAGATTATATCGGAATCAAGTAAAGGAAAAGCGAAGAAACGTGTAAACAATAAATCCGAGAACACGTTGAGCTTCTCGGAGCTGCAGCTGATGAAACAGGTCATTGCCGTTGCTTTGATTTTCATTGCCGGCAACACACCCAAGGTTTTTGTGTTTACAGCATTGGCAGTTGTACCTGATCTGAATTTTGGAAATCGTTACCAAAATCTTTACCTGGTTCTGATGGCCTCGAGAGAAGTCATCGAGAATCTCATCTCGGCCGCAAATTTTATCGTGTATTATAAATACAACTCAAAATACACGAAGTGCTGCCCTTTGAGAAAGTATGTGTGTTTATTATAAACGCAACTAAAAATATAGGCAGTGTTGCCCTCTGAGAAATTTTATATGTGTGTTTTAAATACATTCAAAATACAGGTAGGGCTGCCCTTTGAGAAATTATGTGTGTGTATTAGAAATACAACTCAAAATACAGGCAGTGCTGCTCTTTGAGACATTGTGAGTGTGTGTGTGTGCCATAAACACAACTCAAAATTAAGGGAGGGTTGCTTTTGGACGAATTATAATCGTGTACAAGTTTTCACGCCGAAATGTCTAAGTGTATATTCTGACGTCTAATTAAAGTCTAACCAGCAATACTGTTTTGATGAGATCAATTGTTGTTTTTTGTTTTGTTTATCATCAAGTCTAGATATTTGTCATTTGTTGTTTTTTGTTTTGTTTATCATCAAGTCTAGATATTTGTCATTTGTTGTTTTTTGTTTTGTTTATCATCAAGTCTAGATATTTGTCATTTGTTGTTTTTTGTTTTGTTTATCATCAAGTCTAGATATTTGTCATTTGTTGTTTTTTGTTTTGTTTATCATCAAGTCTAGATATTTGTCATTTGTTGTNTTTTTTTTGTTTTTGTTGTTTGGTGGGGGGGGGTGATGGGGTGGTGGTGGTGTGTTGTTTTTTTTTTTTTTTTTTTTTTTTTTTTTTTTTTTTTTTTTTATTTTTTTTTTTGTTTTTTTTTTTTTTTGTTTGTGTGGTTGTTTTGTTTGGATATTTACATATTTACATTTTTTTTTCTTCTTTGTTGCCATATCTTCGCAACTGCGTTCCTAAGAGAATAATTATTTTATCATATTTTTTTTTAAACATTGTGACAAAATACAAATGTTGAACTTGAATACGAATTTTCCGTATCGGGAAAATAATTGGCAGAATTTTGGTGAAACGGAAGTTTTTTCGAACGGAAATTTTGTTCGAATTATGCTCGTCCCATCAAACCGGATTCAATTCACATCATGTCTTGCGGCAGCTTCAAGCTTCTTATAAAAATAAAATAAAATAAAATAAAAATATCTTCTTTGCGACAAGAATGGAAGTATTACTTTATTTAGTTGTTAGATACACCCCAGGTTTGTTTTTTTACCGTGGTAAAGGGTCACAGTTAAACTCAATCAAGACATTAACACGGCTCGCCCAATGGTCTTCGGTGGGATGGTAAAGATTATGTAGAGTGGATCCCGAGATAGACCTGCATTGGCATCACAGATTATCATTATTCTTTAGTGTTGTTTTTTAAAACTTTTTTTTGGATCCATTTAAAAAACTTTGATCGTAGCGTCATAAATGTCCAGACGAGTCTACAGGGTCAGAGACAATGTCAAGATTAAGTCAAGAAGCACATTGTATTTCTCATCATTTTTTCATTGCCTCTATGTTTTTTTTGTGTGTTAAATTTGACAATTATATTATACCAAGATAATGACATCCTGATAATGACATCCTGATAATGACATCCTGATAATAACATCCTGATAATAACATCCTGATGATGACATCCTGATGATGACATCCTGATAATGACATCCTGATAATGATATTCTGATAATGACATCCTGACTGTCTTTGCAAAAACATAAGAGAGACCAGATCAAGATGACGATGCCGGTTTTCAAAATCGTCATCTAAAAATCACTCCCCTCAAATTTGAAGACGCTGTTGAGAGATTGACTTTTTATTATATTTTTGCTGTTGAAATTATTTAATTAGATCAGTGACCTTTCAGTGTTTGAAAATTTCAATCAGTTATATTCAAATACAATGTCAAAACTCAATGCCGCATATTCCTTTGATTTTCCCCGAAACCGACCTTGACCCGGGTGATTTCCACGAAGCTCTACAATGTCAAAACTCAATGCCGCATATTCCTTTGATTTTCCCCGAAACCGATCTTGACCCGGGTGATTTCCACGAAGTTCTACAATTTTCTTTTTTTTTTTACAAATCTTTACAAAAAAACCACCGCACTTAAGCTCCATCTTTTTGATGAAAGATGTGGTCTTTTTTCCTGTGTGTTTTAGTACAGGGTATTTCATCGTGATGTAGTCATGAATCATCATATCGTAATCGTTGCGAGCATTCACTGACAAAAGTGCCCCACCCCACCCTCTCTCTTTTTTTTTCCCATCTCTATGACCTGTCTCAAAGATGCTGTAGGACACAACGAGACAAAACTATTTTCTATTTAATTATTCACTTGATTTTTTTTTAGCCCATGACTTTGCGATTAAACATCAACTACCAATGAACAGAAAATCTGTAAAAATCTAAAATAAGGTTTTAAAGAACCAAATGTTTGATATGTTACTAGCGCCAAGGTAATGTTCTTAGCTTCACTGGATGTCATCACACGTTACGTTCCTTCCGACTTGTTTCTGTTCAGCACTTTTAATGGAAATTGTTTTTAAAAAACAGTCAATATTTAAAATAAATAAAACGAAACAATTTTAATACTGTCTACCTGTAAAAGCTAAAAAAAAATTGAACAGCCGAGTAAGAAGTATCCCAACAGGAAAAAAAACAAGCATTTTTTTTTTATTAAAGGCTGATGGAAAGTATCCGAAACATTTGGTTTTCACAAGATGCAGGTCATGTCTATCAGGACTAAGACTTTTAAATAACATTTTTACGGCAAACATGATAACTAAATGTCCGAGTTGTGACAGGGGTGATGTCGTGATAAAATAAATGATACACTGCTAACAGTAACAACTTTTTTTTTTTAATTTACAAAGCAAATAGATATAATAATATGAAATCGACGAAACAATTATTTATTAGATTTGAATGACATCAACTAGAAACATGAAGCAGGGTGTAACTAAAAATTAAATGTGAATTAAATGCGCGCATGAAATCTCTGCTTGGCGCACAATAAATTCTTTGCTTGATTTACCTGGCACACGTCAAACAATTTGCTTGGTTTACCTGGCCTACACCAAGCAATTTGATTGGTTTACACAGGTGGTAATTGCCGGTTTCGTTCTTCTTAACGATCCCCTGTGATCATTTAAAGTAAAATAATTGTTTTCGTTACTCTTCATAACAAGAATATAGATTCCAGCACGCCTAATGCAAAACTTTTTTGTTTATTTTATGGGGTTTGGAAAACTATAGGTCTGTTATGAATTAAACTCGTAGTAATGTTTTCTTTATTCAACAAAAAGGGGGGGGGGGTTGGGCTATTACGTTTGCTGTAATGGTTTTGTTGACTCAGCAATACCACCTCGTCACTTGACAGGCTCAATCCCAACAGTCATTTTTATTTTTCTAAATTACTTTAAGCATCGCACGCACACCTACACACGGACACACTCCTGTGCGTGCAGCACACCCTCGCTCACTCGCACACTCACACACACAACTAATTAACTTCCTCGACAATTATTTGTGAGATAATCTGTATGTCATCTGACTACATTAATAGAAACAAATTATGTGAACGTTGACTAGATAACGATTACAGTCGAACCTTAATTAAATCATTCCTGATCTGATTCACTGTGTCGTGCTCGGCTCGTAATGCATTAAAACGAAAAAGTTTTTTCTATATAAATAATTTTTCAAGGCCAATTTTGATATCGCCATTTTTAAGACCGTCCACTAGCGTCATCGAGGATATTTTACTTAACGCTCCCAAATCAAATCTTAAAATCAAAAGAGCCCTTAACACTGGTCAGTACACTGGTCAGGACACTGGTCAGTACACTGGTCAGGACACTGGTCAGTACACTGATCAGTACACTGGTCAGTACACATTATTACAACAAAATGACCAAAGCGTCAACATCCAGATTTCTTGGGGCGTCATATGATAACCTCACCCTGTCAGGGGCGCCTCCTGCAGCACCAAATGTCGATACTCTAGTCACAGACGACCAGTACGCGGCCATACTGAGCTTGTATTCCGTTATCGGTATAATGACGTCATTGTTCGGACTTGTTACCAACGCCATCAACTTCAAAATATTTGCTGTCATGGGAACGAAGGACGGCATCACGGTGTCATTCTTGTTTTTGTCGTCTGCTGAATTCGTCTGCTTTTGGGCGGCGCTTGGGCAAGAACTGTCTATTGTCTGTGGTGTCACAGAAATATTGAGTAAACACAAAATTTCACTTTATAATTATCCCACCGCTTTTGGAATTTACTTTGGAAGTATTCGCACTTGCCTGTTCACAATTCCTGTTTTGATTACATTGTACCTATCCGTAGCTAAGTGCGTGTGTGTTGTCAGACCATTGCATTTCAAAAACATGTTTTCGGTGAGGACAACAGTGATCATTATGTCCGGCATATGCGTTTGTGCAGTTCTTAGTTATCTGCCGATATTTTGCACAACTGGAATCATGTGGGTCCACGATAAGAAGACTAACGCGTCACGCATCGCCATGGCCACGTCACCCTATCGGGATATCATTAAAAACGTCGTTTGGACCGCCAGAGATTCAGTCCCAAGCATCGCGTCTCAGGTCATCGTCATCGTCTGTATATATTTAATGATCGGATCTCTAAGAAAAGCGGCCCGGTTTAGAGGGTTGTCGTCATCAGGAACAGTTTTAGAACCGTCGAAAAATAGCACTCACAAAAATAACGAACATGAAAAAGCCAGACTGGGCGGCGCGGAGGTGCAGGTAATCAAACAGGTGGTCGTCATCTCGGTGGTCTACATTGTTGGTAACACGCCTAAGATTGCGATCATCCTGGCGTCCTCCGTTGTACCGGATCTCAATCTGGGTCACCGCTTTCAGAACCTGTACATCGTCCTGACCAACACGAGGGAACTCATCGAGATGATATTCTCAGCTGTCAATATCTTTATTTATTATAATTATAATTCTAAATTTAAGAACCGCTGCAAATCTCTTATTTTAACACGTATTAAAGCGTGTTGCGTTTAATTACCCTCCCCCCCCCCCCCCCACCACACTTTTACCTATGCTTGACAGGTGATTCGATTAAGTCTGTACATTGCTTTGGCTTAATTTCACAGCGATGCGTGTTTTATTCTGTTCCGTTTTAAATATAGTATTAATGAATGCCTTGAACTTCAATTGTTCTAATTTTAAAATGTTGTCTTGGTTAAACTATGCTTTTCATTTATGTGCTGAAAATAACTATGAAGAATTTAGTATAAAAAACAACAACATTTATTTCCATCAATAAAAGAATTTTGATCTTATCTATTAAAGCTAAATCATAATGAACAATGGTTTCTTATGAATTTGTCTGACTCTAAGTAAGTTGATTTTCTTATTTTATTTATCTTGGTCAAAATGTTTTGTTTCCAAATGACAATATGAAACCCAGAAGGCTACGCAAACTATTTTGTTCCAATAGAAATTTTGAAGAACTTTTTTCTTTTTCTTAAAATGACATTTGTTTTTTGGTTTCATTGGTAATATAAATGTCAACATTTAGCTTAAACTTTTGAAGGGAATAGCACAATTTAAATTATTCATTATTTCTTCCTTAAAATTAAAATGAATGTTAGTTTAATGAAATCAATGTTTTTTTATAAGTAGAAAGCTACTGAATTTACGTTTTTAAATGGATAAAGACAGAATGAATAAGGATAATGTACAGTGGAACCCACTTATCTCGACCTCGGTTAACTCGCCAACGCTGTTTTGTCGACGTTTTGGAAGTCGAACGGCCAAATACTTCCTTTGTCTTAGCATTTTCTCCTCGGTTATGTCGATTATTTTTATGTCGCCGAACCCTGATATCTCGAGCACAAAAGGGGGTCAAATTTGCAACATAACCTCGGTTATCTCGATCGTCATGACCAATCGCCGGCTTTTGAAAATTGTATACAACAGAAACGTGCTTACTTCAAAATGTGGTAATTGAAATTTACAAAAACAAAACAATATCATTGTGTGCGCAATTAACCTGACACAGCAAAAAGCGAGGAGTGAATCCGTATTTGAATAAACTGAACTGGCGAATCCGGAGCGAGAGGAAATAAAAACTCGCGAATCTGGAGATGAAAAATATGTAGCCTCACGAATCCAGAATTACGGGATAGTCAAGAAAAGAGGCACCTTACATATGGCACCCCACATATGTGAAAAAATAAAAATAAAAAAAACACGTGCATTATAAATTCTCATTTTCAAGCGCACATCGTAAACATAAATACATTTCAAGCACATGTTAATGTATTGCCGCCATATTGGTTTTCGGTTATGACAATCATCGGTTATCTCGACGCTTTTTTGGAAAACTACGAGGCCGGCGACATGACCAGGTTTGACTGTACCATGAAAACTTAGTATCTGAATTTGTACTTATCCCTCTAAGAATAATACTTATTTTAGAACGCAATTCTCATGGAATCGTTTTATTCTATGCAGCTGTGCAACCTCATGGGTATTGTTGGTGAGTTTTAAGATCCCCATGATACTGATGGCTTACTCGGCAGGGTCTAGGTGTACCATGGCTTTCTTGACCGCGTTCAAGAGTGCCATGGCTTACTCGGCAGGGTCTTGGTGTACCATGGACTTCTTGACAGTGTTTAAGAGTTCCATGGCTTTCTGGGCAGAGTCTACGTGTGCCATAACTTTCAGGTCAGGTCTTAGGTGTGCCATAACTTTCAGGGCATGGTCTAGATGTAACAAGGCCTCCTGGGTTGAGTCTTGGTGTACCATGGCTTTCTTGGCAGGGTCGTAGTGTGCCATAGCTCGTGGTTAAAAAAATATTCAAATAATTATTTGCTTGTATTAACTATAAAGGTTATAAACATAAATTTTACTTTTTTAATAAACCTACTAGTTTTGCTTACTTTTCATACACCACGGGCAAAGACAGAAACACATCAACCTACAGTGTGTGGATATCACGACGAGAACGTCAATGCTCAAGAGAGCCCGGTACCGAGAGGAAGAAGAAAAAAAATAGTCCCTTAAGTTATTTTGTTTGGGGACGGTATCGCGTCAATGAGAATTAATTTAAGGTCGTCCTTACCTGCTGGCAAAAAAGAAAAAAATTTGCAGGAGTTCGTGTGGATGGGGAAATCTTGAAGTTGGTAGCCAACACGTTTCTTGGTGTGCATTGAATCGAAATTCGAGTTCCAGAGAATCTCAACATAACACCAGAAGAAGAAGAAAACTGCTACTATATTTATGATGCAATCACCATTTAGCTTTTAAGACAAAGTCTATAATGTCCCTGATCACGGGCTAATCGCTTATAAACGATTCTTTTATTTCTTGTAGATAGAGTATGCACATCTTCACATTCTAACAGATGTGTGTTCATTGACAAACTAAAGGATTTGATTGTTCTTGAAATGGATTGTAAATTAAATTTAAATAGCAGTAACTATGCGTCACAATGTGACACCATTCGGGATCTATGCTTCCTCTTTTGTGTAATATGTAATCTTATAAGTGGGATAAGACTAACGAACTTTTTGTATGTACTAAATAGATCTTGCAACTGACCCAGCATGCACCAGGTTATTCAATAATGAAGTGTACAAAGTGAAATCATACAATCAAATAATTTAATAATATCTTTACTTCAACTCTAACGAACTTTTTGTATGTACTAAATAGATCTTGCAACTGACCCAGCATGCACCAGGTTATTCAATAATGAAGTGTACAAAGTGAAATCATACAATCAAATAATTTAATAATATCTTTACTTCAACGTTATTAGAACTTATTACATTGTATTCATAGAGAGGTGGTGCTTAGAGACACACAATTTTCCAATGAAAGAAAATGCACCGATGACAAATGCATTACCTAATCACATCGTCACTTCAATATTTACCGTGAAATTGTTTAAATCCATGGTCTGTTTGCGTCACGTTCTTGAACAAACTTGTCGAAAATGAACAATTGATGACCAATATCAGAGGCATGAGAATCACTTGGTCAACACTCTCATAAGAAAGATGCGGCCATTAAAACAATTTACTGGCTATCTATTGTATTACTTTTTACGCCCCGTATTTGGTTTCAGATTAGAAATGTCTATTCTCCTGTTAAAATGGTTATTGAATTAATCAGTTCTATGGGGAAGTGTTTTATCAATAATTTTATTGGCAGATATTTTATTCGCAGATATAGGATTGTTTCATTCATTTGAAAATATCGATAGATGAAGAGGTTTTTATTTTTGTGTGATATAAATTTCATGTTTCTTTTTTATCAAAACTCAATAATTTTATTGGCAGATATTTTATTCGCAGATATAGGATTGTTTCATTCATTTGAAAATATCGATAGATGAAGAGGTTTTTATTTTTGTGTGATATAAATTTCATGTTTCTTTTTTATCAAAACCACTTCCGACATGTAACAACATTAAATTGGAAAAACCCAAATTCTTTGAGTGGTTTTCACAAGCCAACGATATAGTTACCGTTGGTTATACATGGACTAAGAAATAGCCTAGATTTTGGCATTTATTATTTCGTTTTCGTTTCTCTCGCTATGCCCTCTCCCGTTTCAATGGAAACCATGACTAAAAAAACCAATTTGTTTCAAAGTGGCAACTATAACAAAATTCTTTGTGACTTGTGTAATGAATCCGTTGTTGAGCAGACTCTCCAAGATTTAGTGACTGATGACCAGTTTGATGCCATTGAAGGCCTCTACTCTGCAGTCGGTACCATCGTTTCTCTATTTGGAATGGTGGCAAACGCAATAACGATAAAAACCTTTGTGGCCATGGGAGCAGACGACGGAGTTACGGTGTCCTTCTTGTGCCTGTCATCTGCAGAATTCGTCTGCTTCTTGGCCTTGTTGGGCCAGGAGCTATCGATGACCCTCTGGGTGATAGAGATGATCAGCGGCTATCGAATTGTGTTTTTTATTCAACCGATGGCTTTCAACAACTTCTTTGGCAATATTCGCAATTGTCTCTTCACTATTCCAGTCCTGATGACCGTCTACCTTTCAGTGGCTAAATGCATGTGCGTTGTCAAACCCTTACATTTTAAAAACATGTTTTCAGTGAGACAGACCTTGTGGATTATGGCAGGTTTTTGTGTTTTTGCCATCGTTAGCTACGTGCCTATCTTTGCCAGCATTGGCTTCCCGGAGCTATACGATGGGAACATAAACAAAACTAGACCCATGCTGTGGATATCCCCAGAGCTGGACATCATTAAAAATGTTGTATTGACCACGAGAGATTCGGTACCCTGCTTTGCGTCTGAGGTTATCATCATCATATGTATCTACGTCATGTCTGACAGTCTGATGCTTGCTACCAAGTTCCGGGCTTCGTCAACATCAGGAGGTATGTCGGCAAGCATACGAGATAGTCATCGTATGGTAAGCACGTCAAAGGAAATACCAGCCAGCTTGGAGGCAACGAATTGCAGGTGATTAAGCAGGTGGTTCTCATCTCAGTCGTATACATTGTCGGCATCACACCGAAGATCGTCGTCTTCCTGGCCATGTCTGTTGTGCCAGATTTAAATATTGGTCAGCGGCACCAAAATCTGGCCGTTATTCTCGCCAACACCAGGGAACTGATTGAGATGATCATGTCGGCCGTCAACATCTTTATCTACTACGAATACAACTCTAAGTTTAGGAGCTTGTGTAAATATTGACTTTTAAATCGGTTTCTCCTTCAACCTACTTTACTACACAAAGGAAGCAGATCTTATTGAAACATCATTTTTATTTAGAGCTTAAATAGCGATATGTATTTTTTGTCTACTGCAATTGTGTCTGTAGTAGGTTTTTCTGCTCGTTCGTTTTCATATTTTGACAAAGCAAATATTTTATACGTTGGCTATTTCCGTTCAAAATCCAAGATGATTTAAGAAGAGTCTTCTAATATCATTCCATCAAATTCTTCAAAAAAGATCATCTAAGTG